TACTTACAGATGTTAAACTGGAGGTAAAACCTAAGAAAAGAGACGCTGTTGCAGGAAGAGGCCGAGTGAGATAGAGAGAAAGAGGTCGTGGCTGTGGAGGAGGACGAGGGCTTCCCGGGATATTATGCCTCTTAAGATTGCTGCTTCAAAGTATTAAATGATTCCACACATTTTTTGGTACAAGTTTTGTAGGTTTGTCGCTTTTTCATAACAAGAAATTTTGCACATAAAAGATGTTAAAACTATCGAAATAACGGGTATGTATAATGCTAATAATTGACATTAAACGGCAAATTATATGTCAAGCATATTTTACAATAAAAAGGGATGAGAACACTATTTTTCTATTTAGATGTCTTTATATAAAAATTTGACTAGTTCAAAAATTAAAAAGGATTTAAAACTAAAATATCTGAATAGAAAATGAGATATATGTCTTAGAAGTAAATTATATGCATACAAAATAATACATTGATCATATGTCAAAAGAGATGTAATTTAGTTATTTACATCTTACTTAAAAATGGAGAGAGAGAAAGATAGTATGTGCGTGCATATCAGTGTGTGTGTGTATGTGTCTAAATGAGTTAAAAAAGCAAAGAGATAGAACTTTGATCCACAACTTAATACTTCAAATACTCAGAATGGAAGAAATTTGATCAACAGAAGCTAGAATCTGAAAGGTAAAAACAAATCTAACTTGTGAGTAGAAGAGAGCTAACTTTTTGAGCCATGTTTACTGACTCCAAAAGATGTGAATTAAAGAGAGGTGTATCCAAAGTAGTGCTCACATCCTGTTTCAGGGGACTTATTGCAATGTTGAATCCTCTACTATGGATGCAGGAAGTGTAAAGCTGAAGAGTCATATTCACTGTCTTGAAGTGAAAGAGCGTCAGGGAGAGAATGGAAAAGAGAGAGGGGAAGAGACATGCTGGCCATTAGTTCCTGCACCAAATGCTTGTAACAGCTCCACTGCCATATACACAGTCTATCTATACCAGCTCTGTACCACCTCTTCAACACGCAACTTTGCATCAAAACCTGGAAGTGACTTTACAGACTTCTTTTTAGTTCAACAAGTTATCACATTAGGAACTGACTCATTGGCTTAATTTTTGAAAAACTTAGTGAGATATAATTCACAAGAAATAAATGCATGTGTTTAATATTCATAGCTCAAGGAGTTATAAAATAAAATTCTGTAATGAAGAAAAACAAACCCATAAACTTCTTGCATGTACTTTAAAAATTCTTAAAATGACAGCCAACACATAAGCATTAGTTGTACTCCTGTACACTAATAACAATTCACATTATAATGAAATCAAGAAAGCAGTCTAGGAGCAGGTGCTTGGTTAAAGGGGTTCAAATGCTGTCTGTAATGTTCAAATGACCTATGAGAGGGCTTGGTTCAAATGTCAGCTCCACTCTGGTTCCCAGGTTCTTAAGAATAAACACCCAGGAAGGCAGAGGGGATGACTCAAGAAATAGGATCCCTGTCATAGATATGCTAGAGCAAGATTGGGTTCCTGGTTGTTGATTTCTGCTTGGCCCTGCCCTGACTGATGCAAGCATATTGAGAAGTGAATTAGCCTATGGAGGTTCTCTCACTCTCTCTTTCTCTCTCTCTCTCTCTCTCACTCTCTGGCTCTTTGAATAAATTAACTAGAGCAAGACAGCGATCTTATTTACAATAACATGGAAAGAATAAAGCAAGTAGCAATAACCTGAGCCTAGGCAGTATATGACTTGCACACTGAAAACTATATTATATTCATGAATTCACATCAAGATAACATAAGTTATTTGGAAGATACCTTGTGTTCATGGAGAAAAAAATACGAATGCTGTGGCAAGATACAGACTAAATGTTATAATTACACATTCCCAGTGACAGATTTTTAACAAAATAGAAAGAGGGAAAAAAAATTTAAAGCTTGTAAAACAGAAGACATAAAACATAAAATCTCTTGAAATGGAGGTGTAAAGCTAGAGATATCACATTTCCTGATTTTGAAATACATGTTTAGCTTTTAAATATGTTATGCTGACAGAGTGTTTAACAGTGATGGATATGTTCATTATTTTTAATCTTTCATAATATATAAATTATACTCATAGGCACACAGTTATTTGAAAGGCTAAAATAAATTTTTTTGACAAGTAGTATGAAGCTGATATAAAGAGATGCATCAGGAGTATTTGAAGAGTTCTAGAAATGTGCATTATGAAAAATTGTGGTGCAAAGTAGCACCCCAGTTGGCACCCATATGGATGCTGGTGTTTGCAGGTGGAGGATTAGCCAGTTGAACCAAGCTTCTGGCCCCAAGGCGTTTGTCTTCTTTTCTGTTACAACAGAATTTTTGGATCGTTATCATACTTGTACCTGAACCCTTAAGAAACACATTTGTTTTTCACTGTTTAATTCCTAATCTCATTTGCTCTCATTAGTGCAGGTGTGAGACTTTTTCCAGGGATTTCTTGATTAAGAGAACTAAGGATCTTATTGTTGAAATATTTGCTACATCCAGGCTTGTTTGGTGCCTGGATCATTCAAGGAAGAAGTATCTTTGCAGCACTATAGAGGAACTGCTGCATAGAGACGTGGAGTGTTCTCTTATTGGTGTCACTGGCATGTTTCCGTGAAATGGCTTAATGCAAAGGCAGGCAGGCGATGAGTGATAACAGTGATGGCAACAATTACAGGCATTATCTAAGTGTGACTTGGACTGGCAAACACTGATCCTGTCAAGAAAATTCCAATGGCTCCCTCAAACACTGGCCAGGATTCTGGAGATTCACTCTCCAGAATTCCTGATTTTCAGAATAATCTGCGCATACTCCTGTTGGTGCATTTGGCTCACTCTCAAGAGTGGCTGTTATTGCTCCCTGATGTCACTGTCACATTGCTGTCAGCAGTGTTTTTATTAGCCAAAGAATGTGTGTTTTCATTATGGTTGTACGAATGCCCTGCATTATGACTGCATTCTTACAATGAGTTTATACAAGAAAACCCATAGCATATGGAAAAAACTGATATCTTGAATGTATTACATAGAATGAAGAACTTCATGTGTCTATCAATGACAGGTAATTTTAAGGCTGCTCTTCCTATGGTTGTTACCAAAAGGTGAATTAAATGACATCATGTATTGGGAAGTTGCAATAATGAGAAAAGATTCTTTGAAATTTGAGCAGTTATTGTGAGCTTTCCATTTAGTGACAGCTGGTTTCAGGCAATTTTCAAAATATTTATTTATTTATTTATTTATTTATTTATTTAAAATGTTTTTTTTATTGGAAAGGCAGATATACAGAGAGGAGGAGAGAGAGAGAGGAACATCATGTGTTCGAAATTTCACTTCCCAAGTGAATGCAACAAATGGAGCTGAGCCAATCCAAAGCCAGGATCAAGGAGCTTCTTCTGGATTTTCCACGTGGGTGATGGGTCCCAAGGATTTGGGCCATCCTGTACTTGTTTCGCAGGCCACAATGATCCAGATTGATGGGAGTCAGGGCTGCTGTGATTCGACCTGGCGAAAGTATGGAATCCCGGCGCATGCAAGGCCAATACTTTAAGCATTATGTTGTGGTGCTGGGCACATATTTATTTATATCTATTTGAAAGGCAGAGTTACAGATAGAGAAAGAGAGACAGAGAGATCATCATGTCTATGGTTCACTCCCCCAATCATCACAACATGTGGAGATAGACCAGTCTGAGACCAGGAGCTTCCCCTTGGTCTCCCACGTGAGTGCAGGAGTCAACCACCGGGTCATCATCTGATGCTCTCTCAAGCACGTTATCAGGCAGCTGGATTGAGAGTTAAGCCACCAAGACATGAATTGGTGCCCACATAGGATGCTGGCAGCACTACAGAATCTTGACCTGAAATATCTCAGCGCAGGACCCTGAGGCTCTTATTGCTAATGTTGAGTCATTCATTCCAAGAATAGAAAATGCCACTTTACTCATTGTGTTTCTTCTTGTCAATGTAACAGAATTTGCTATTGAACTCACTTCCTATATAAAATGGTTCACCATTACATTTCAACATGATGAAATCTAGATCTATGTCAATACATACAGACATATGCTCTTAATAGGAAGACAAATCTGACTTACACTAAGATATTTGCAAGAGTACAGAGTTTTTGCTAGGTATATTCGAAACATAGTGTTGATAAGTGTTAAAAGTATTCCAATTGGTGTAGCAGGTGACATTTCAAAGAGTATCTGTGAACACTTCATTGGAAAAGGAATTGTTGACAGAATATTGCTCCACAGATCATGCCTAGACAGTGATAGGAAAGGCCTCAGGATCATTTTTATCCTCCAAGATCACTACAGGCTAAAACTTTTGTTTGGATTCTCTACTGCAAAATCAATCATATTTGACAGTGAAACCTAGGTCTGTTATTGTAGTCAGGTAGTATTTTTCATGCTTTGCCTTCATATATGTGAGTACTAACACACAATCAGATTTAAATGTGATGTTATGGACACAAGACAGAAAAGGCAGGTTTAGAAAGAGGAGATATTGAAGACACTGGCAATGGGTAAAAATATAGCCCAAGAGAAGTGAGGACAGGGGAGTGAGTTGGACAGATAGTCTTGGAGGATCCTTCTACGTTGAAGAGATTGGAATCTGGGAGACGCTAAAATTTCCTATTTTAAGATGCAGGATAGAAGGTCAAGCAGGTGAACTGAATGATCTTTCCTAAGAACACGTGTGCCTTTCCTCCGTGGTCTGAGGAAGTTGAGGACTGTCAGCCAAGGGGCAGTGGTGACAAAGAATTTCCAAATCAGAGTTCGAGAGGAAATGAGAGGTAGGAGGCACTGGGTGGGGAGGGCACTTGTTTTTTTCTGGCTCCAATATGTGATTTGGATGATGAAGATACTTGTCAGCCAGAAGAGAGCCTGAGTCACTGCACAGGGCCAAGAAAAGGTTTGATTAATCAGGAGAGATCAAACACCAGTTCTGAGTGAGGATTAAACGCACAGTGAAATGCTGCTGCTGCTGCTGCCACTCCTAGTCCTGGCAGATCTCCTCCCAGGTGGTGACAATAAGGACGGTAAGAACAACTGGCAGCTGCCAGCACTGGTGCAGAGGGTCTGCATACAGTCAGTGCTATGCTTACACCGTGGTGCTGTTCCCTCTGGTTCTCTCTACAGCTCTGGAGTATCTCAAAGTCTCAGGCTTGTGGAATGCTTAGCCTGTGGGTTCTGTGTCTGATTCTCTTCAATTTTCATTCTTCTAACTTCCTCCTGCTTTCTTCTTCTCACCATGTGATTCTTCTTTCCTTACAGCCCTCCAGGGACCGACATCTTACCATGTCATCCAGATCTCATCCTTTATAAACAGCTCCTGGACACAAACTGAAGGTTCAGGCTGGATGGAAGATTTGCAGATTCATAGATGGAAAGAAAGTAATAACTACTCTACGATATTCCTGACACCCTGGTGTAACGGTACCTTCAGTAAGGACGAGATTGAAGAAATGGCAGCGCTCTTCAAAATCTACTTCTCTGGACTCACAAGGGAACTGCGTGACCACCTCCTTGAATTCCAGATGCACTGTGAGTTCAGCCTTCCCTGGTATACTCTGCATGGCTACTTTCACTTTCTGACTGAGGCTGCCCCTCCCTGGCATCCTCCTGGCCTTTTTTTTTTTTTTTTTTGCTGTATTCACCATCACACTTGCTCTTACTTTCAGTGCGTTCTCATGGCATCTTCACACTTTCTGAAAGATTCCTATTCTTGAGAACTCTTCAATCTTTGGAAGTTCTAGGCTTCCCTTCAAAATAGTCTCTCTGTGACTTGTACATCAAACACCCTTATTTCTCTTATCTTAGGTCTGAGTGACCTAACCTGTGTCTCCTTCCTCTAACCCGGCTCCTCAGCTTTCTGCCTGCACTCCTCCAAAAGATTCAACTCTGAAATAGTGTGTTTCTCTCTCCATGATGAAGTTCCTGGCATCCTTCCTCTCCTTTTATTGCCTCTACAGCTTCTTCACAGCCCCTCTGCATGCATAACATAAATACTTCTCTCCAGGGAGATTGTGTTCAATGGTATTAGTGACTTTTGACTCATTCCACAACTGTAAAGCAACTCAAAAAATAAAAGAACAACAACAACTCCAAGAAAAAATAAAGGATAAACTCATGTTCTCACTCCTGCCTTTATTTGTTGTTTACTGCTGAGTTACTAAGGGTCTACTTTCTCCCCAGATCCCTTTGAGATACAAATGATAGGAGGCTGTGAGTTGCATTCTGGAGGTGCCATTGAAAGCTTCTTAAGGGCAGCTTATGAAGGACAGAATTTCCTGACCTTCAAGAATTATTCATGTTTGCCTGATCCAAAAGCTGGTTACAGCGCGGAGATAGTATGTGCACTACTTTCTCAATACAGAGGAATCTCTGAAATTGTGAAGATACTGCTCTACAAAAAATGCCCCCGGTTTCTGCGTGGTGTCCTTAAAACAGGGAAGGCCTACTTGCAGAGGCAAGGTAAGTCCTATCGTGTTTCACTTCTTACCACCACCTGTAACTTTCAGAAGAGAGATAGCCAAAGATAGAGGATTTCCTTTGCTGGTCAAAGGAATAGATGAGGATGCTGTCCAACCTGTGGATTCTTGGACCCTATGCTTTGCAATAGGATCACAAGACAACATCTTTCTTGCTCTTTCTTGCTCCAGTGAAACCCAAGGCCTGGTTGTCCAGTGGCCCCAGTCCTGGGCCTGGCCGTCTTCTGCTGATATGCCACGTGTCTGGGTTCTACCCAAAGGCTGTGTGGGTGATGTGGATGCGGGGTGAAGAGGAGAAGGTGGATCAGCAACATGAAATCCTTCCTTTTGCTGATGGGACGTGGTATCTGCGAGTGACCTTGGATGTTCCTGCTGAGCAAGCAACAGGCCTGTCTTGTCGGGTGAAGCACAGCAGTCTGGGAAACCGAGATATCGTCCTCTTCTGGGGTGAGAAAGAAGCAGGGCCCGGGTGTGAAAATGTAATAGAGAGTCTTCCCAAATCCAGGAGCACTGGGAAGGGTTAGTGTTGACCAGAGGGTAAACAGGAATAAGGAGAGAGGGACAGAGGCATGAACACACAGAAACTGAGAGAAAGAGAGAGTTGAGAGAGAAAGTTGGAAATATGAAACGGAACCAGAGATGATCATACATTTGTAGTATTTCCAGTGTGATGATGATGGTATAGTGGGCCGTGAAATACAGAGCATTGGCTCTATGGAAATTGCAGTGACTTTTCTGTGTTCTCTTTAAATTACCAGGACGTTCTGTCTCCATTGGCTTGATATTTTTGGCAATTCTGCTCTGTTTAGCCATTTTGCTGATCCTGGCCCTATGGTATTGGAGGCGCTGGTGAGTATCTCTAGTTAGTCTCCCTCTGCCCCCTTCTCAGTGGTTTCCACCACTTCACGTAGTTGGTGCTTTTGTAAGAAGACTTTTCACCTTGTCCTTGTCTTCCCAACTCCCTGTCTCCTCTGTAGTAACAACACTGGTGACATTTATCACTTTTCCCGTTGTTAATGTTCAGATCAGGTGCGCTACTGAATTCAGAGTTTTGTGCAACCTTTATCATTACATGCCTCAGATCCCCTTTCCTCTCACAAAACTGAAACTCTTTAACCACTGCCTCCATTACCCTCCTCCTCCCTGACCTGGGCAAGAACCATTAGAATTTCTACTTGTGTGAGTTTAACACCTCACTCTAGGCCCATCCTGCAAGGGAAGTCATGTAATATTTATTTGTTGTGGCAAATTTATCTTTTTAGTATAATGCCTTCAAGGCTTATGTTGGAGCACATGCCAGCCTTTGCATCCTTGTTAAGGCTGTTTAATATTCAGTCCCGTCCATCTTTGTACCACATTCTGTTTTGTTTTTCCATTCGTATGTTAATGCTCATTCCAGTTCTTCAGCATTTGCTTTTGCAAATAATGACCTAATGCATAAGGGTGTGTAAAAAGCACAGACACACAAACTTATCTGCCTCAAATTTCTGTCTCCTTCTCTTTGACTCTCTGTCTCCATATATATATATATATTTATAGGTATATATTTACATAATAAAACCTGTCTTATGTTTTTGGCAGGTCCTATCAGTGCGTCATGAACTTTTTTTACACCATCTCCCTCATTTGCAATAAATTGTGAGAAGCCCAGAAATCAATATTTCTTCCAATATTTTAGGTGAAATCAGATTTTTGAGATTGTAAATATCATATTGTCTGTACCAGTGTAAAAATAATTAAACTTTTTCATTATTAGCTGCTATCAATAATAGCATTCATTATTATATCAACATTTAATACTTGTCCTGCACTTTTTGAGATTACTTAATACTTTACATCTTGTGCTCTCTTGATGTATCACATACTGGGTTGAAAATGGTAAAGTCTGTTGCTTATCTTTCTTGTTTATTTTTTGTGTATAATTATAGACATGATTATTTATGTATATATGCTCAGATGTAGTTTGCTGAGTTTAAATCTGTGTATTTAATTTTTTCAATGTGTGAAGTAGAAATTATTTCTTTTGTCCTTTTTTCTAATGGTAGGTTAGAGGGTTTTGTTTTGTGTATAAATGTGTATATTCCCCATCAAGGGTGGGAAACATTCACAAGTGAGGGGTTAATGCTGAAAATTATCATAATTTTGTGACCAGTTCAAAAAATGAATCTATTGCTTCACTCCTTGTTTCAGCCTTTTTTTATTTTTTTAAGATTTATTATTTTAATTACATTGTGTTATGTGACACAGTTTTTTAGACACTGGGATTACCCCTACCCTTCCCATAACCCTTCCCCCAGGGTGGATTCCTCCACCTTGCTGCATTGCCACAGTTCAAGTTCAGTTGAGGTTCTTTCATTGCATATACCAAGCATATACCAAGCATAGAGTCCAGCATCTTATAGTCCAGATAAGTTCAAAGGATCCTTTGGTGACAGGAGGCAGTCAGTGTGGACTCACTTTTATCTTACTAGGTTGGACACAAAGATTATTTACTCCTCACTCGGGCATTGAAGATTTCTCTGCACACGCCTCCTTAAAACTGTTCTGCACCGAAACTGTTGACATATGTCTTGTTAGAGGTGTAAACCACTCTAGCATTCCCGAAAATAAAAAAGCCCGGTACAGCAAAATTACACCTCCACGCTATAAAAAGCTAAATACTGCAATGATAATAGACTCAAGTCAGCTAAATAGTAATCTATAACATTTTAAGGTGTATAGAACCCGGTTGTATTTAAACTAAAATCAAAATGTAAATGAAGAAGTCACAGGCTTTGGATCGGCACAACAGTGGCCATTATGGTCACATAGGGAGTGAATCATCAGATGGAAGATCTTCCTCTCTGTGTCTCCTCTCCCTGTATATCCGCCTTTCCAATAAAACTGAATAAATCTAATAAAAAATTTTTTTTAAAAAAAATGAGAAAAAGGCACGAAGTGAATATATAATACTTTAAAAATAGGTCAATTGGAGAATTTTTAAGTTATAATTAACAATGTATAAAGTATATTTCATTATCATATAATAATTAAATAATTATGAGAAGCATATATATATTCTAGACGGTTATTTATTTACTCATTCATTTATGTGTTCAAATTGTAACTATTTTTGTTTATTTCTATAATTGAAACGGAAATCCTTAAAAAGCAGAGTAAAGTTGAAGAGTCACATTCACTGTCTTGAAGTGAAAGAGCGTCAGGGAGAGAATGGGAAAGAGAGAGGGGAAGAGACATGCTGGCCATTAGTTCCTGCACCAAATGCTTGTAACAGCTCCACTGCCATATACACAGTCTATCTATACCAGCTCTGTACCACCTCTTCAACACGCAACTTTGCATCAAAACCTGGAAGTGACTTTACAGACTTCTTTTTAGTTCAACAAGTTATCACGTTAGGAACTGACTAATTGGCTTAATTTTTGAAAAACTTAGTGAGATATAATTCACATGAAATAAATGCATGTGTTTAATATTCATAGCTCAAGGAGTTATAAAATAAAATTCTGTAATGAAGAAAACAAACCAATAAACTTATTGGATGTACTTTAAAAATTCTTAAAATGACAGCCAACACATAAGCATTAGTTGTACTCCTGTACACTAATAACAGTTCACATTATAATGAAATCAAGAAAGCAGTCTAGGAGCAGGTGCTTGGTTAAAGGGGTTCAAATATTGTCTGTAACATTCAAATGACCTATGAGAGGGCTTAGTTCAAATGTCAGCTCCACTCTGGTTCCCAGGTTCTTAAGAGTAAACACCCAGAAAGGCAGAGGGGATGACTCAAGAAATTGGATTCCTCTGCCCAGCGCACATCAAAGTGGTTAAGGTCCTTGCCTTGCATGGCCAGGATCCCATATGAGCACCGGTTCTAATCCTGGGGGCCCCGCTTCCCATCCAGTTACCTGCCTGTAGCCCGGGAAAGCAGTCCAGGACAGCTCAGAGCTTTGGGAAACTGCACCCGCGTGGGAGACACAGAAGAGGCTCCTGGTTTTGATCAGCATACCATCAGCCGTTGCGCCCAGTTGGGGAGTGAGTCATCGGACTGAAGATCTTGCTCTCTGTCTCTCCTCTCTGTGTATCCACCTTTCCAATTAAAAATAGAATAAATCTTAAAAAGAAAAAAGAAAAGAAAATTGGATCCCTGTCATAGATATGCTAGAGCAAGATTGGGTTCCTGCTTATTGATTTCTGCTTGGCCCCACCCTGACTGATGCAAGCATATTGAGAAGTGAATTAGCCTATGGAGGTTCTCTTTTCCTCTCTCTCTCTCTCTCTCTCTCACTCTCTGGCTCTTTGAATAAATTAACTAGGGCAAGACAGCGATCTTATTTACAATAACATGGAAAGAATAAAGCAAGTAGCAATAACCTGAGCCTAGGCAGTATATGACTTGTATTCTGAAAACTATATTATATTCATGAATTCACATCAAGGTAACATAAGTTGTTTGAAAGGTGCCTTGTGTTCATGGAGAAAAAAATACGAATGCTGTGGCAAGATACAGACTAAATGTTATAATTATCAAATTCCCAGTGACAGATTTTTAACAAAATAGAAAGAGGGAAAAAAAATTAAAGCTTGTAAAACAGAAGACATAAAACATAAAATCTCTTGAAATGGAGGTATAAAGCTAGAGATATCACATTTCCTGATTTTGAAATACATGTTTAGCTTTTAAATATGTTATGCTGACTGAGTGTTTAACAGTGATGGATATGTTCATTATTTTTAATCTTTCATAATATATAAATTATACTCATAGGCACACAGTTATTTGAAAGGCTAAAATAAATTTTTTTGTCAAGTAGTATGAAGCTGGTATAAAGAGATGCATCAGGAGTATTTGAAGAGTTCTAGAAATGTGCATTATGAAAAATTGTGGTGCAAAGTAGCACCCCAGTTGGCACCCATATGGATGCTGGTGTTTGCAGGTGGAGGATTAGCCAGATGAACCAAGGTTCTGGCCCCAAGGTGTTTTTCTTCTTTTCTGTTACAACAGAATTTTTGGATCGTTATCATACTTGTACCTGAACCCTTAAGAAACAAATTTGTTTTTCACTGTTTAATTCCTAATCTCATTTGCTCTCATTAGTGCAGGTGTGAGACTTTTTCCAGGGATTTCTTGATTAAGAGAACTAAGGATCTTATTGTTGAAATATTTGCTACATCCAGGCTTGTTTGGTGCCTGGATCATTCAAGGAAGAAGTATCTTTGCAGCACTATAGAGGAACTGCTGCATAGAGACGTGGAGTGTTCTCTTATTGGTGTCACTGGCATGTTTCCGTGAAATGGCTTAATGTAAAGGCAGGCAGGCGATGAGTGATAACAGTGATGGCAACAATTACAGGCATTATCTAAGTGTGACTTGGACTGGCAAATACTGATCCTGTCAAGAAAATTCCAATGGCTCCTTCAAACACTGGCCAGGATTCTGGAGATTCAACTCTCCAAAATTTCTGGTTTTCAGAATAATCTGTGCATACTCCTGTTAGTGCATTTGGCTCACTCTCAAGAGTGGCTGTTATTGCTCCCTGATGTCACTGTCACATTGCTGTCAACAGTGTTTTTATTTGCTGGAGAATTTATGTTTTCATTATGGTTGTACGAATGCCCTGCATTATGACTGCATTCTTACAATGAGTTTATACAAGAAAACCCATAGCATATGGAAAAAACTGATATTTTGAATGTATTACATAGAATGAAGAACTTCATGTGTCTATCAATGACAGGTAATTTTAAGGCTGCTCTTCCTATGGTTGTTACCAAAAGGTGAATTAAATGACATCATGTATTGGGAAGTTGCAATAATGAGAAAAGCTTTGAAATTTGAGCAGTTATTGTGAGCTTTCCAATTAGTGACAGCTGGTTTCAGGCAATTTTCAAAATATGTATTTATTTATTTTAAATGTTTTTATTTTTATTGGAAAGGCAGATATACAGAGAGGAGGAGAGACAGAGAGGAAGATCTTTCCATCCGATATTTCACTTCCCAAGTGAATGCAACAAAAGGAGCTCAGCTAAACCGAGGCCAAGATCAAGGAGCTTCTTCTGGATTTTCCACGTGGGTGCAGGATCCCAAGGATTTGGGCCATCCTGTACCTGTTTTGCAGGCCACAATGGTCCAGATGATGGGAGTCAGGGCTGCCTTGATTCGACCCGGCGAACTTATGGAATCCCGGCACATGCAAGGCCAGTACTTTAAGCATTATGTTGTGGGGCTGGGCACATATTTATTTATATTTATTTGAAAGGCAGAGTTACAGATAGAGAAAGAGAGACAGAGAGATCATCATGCCTTTGGTTCACTCCCCCAATCATCACAACATGTGGAGATAGACCAGTCTGAGACCAGGAGCTTCCCCTTGGTCTCCCATGTGAGTGCAGGAGTCAACCACTGGGTCATCATCTGATGCTCTCTCAAGCACATTATCAGGCAGCTGGATTGAGAGTTAAGCCACCGAGGCATGAATTGGTGCCCACATAGGATGCTGGCAGCACTACAGAATCTTGACCTGAAATATCTCAGCGCAGGACCCTGAGGCTCTTATTGCTAATGTTGAGTCATACATTCCAAGAATAGAAAATGCCACTTTACTCATTGTGTTTCTTCTTGTCAATATAACAGAATTTGCTATTGAACTCACTTCCTATATAAAATGGTTCACCATTACATTTCAGCATGATGAAATCTAGATCTATGTCAATACATACAGACATATGCTCTTAATAGGAAGACAAATCTGACTTACACTAAGATACTTGCAAGAGTACAGTGTTTTTGCTAGGTATATTCGAAACATAGTGTTGATAAGTGTTAAAAGTATCCAAATTGGTGTAGCAGGTGACATTTCAAAGAGTATCTGTGAACACTTCATTGGAAAAGGAATTGTTGACAGAATATTGCTCCACAGATCATGCCTAGACAGTGATAGGAAAGGCCTCAGGATCATTTTTATCCTCCAAGATCACTACAGGCTAAAACTTTTGTTTGGATTCTCTACTGCAATATCAGTCATATTGGACAGTGAAACCTAGGTCTGTTACTGTAGTCAGGTAGTATTTTACATGTTTTGCCTTCATATATGTGAATACTAACACACACAATCAGATTTAAATGTGATGTTATGGACACAAGACAGAAAAGGCAGGTTTAGAAAGGGGAGATACTGAAGACACTAGCAATGGGTAAGAATAAAACGCCAGAGATGTGAGGACAGGGGAGTGAGTTGGAAAAGATAGTCTTGGAGGATCCTTCTATGTTGAAGAGATTAGACTGAATCTGGGAGACCCTAAAATTTCCTATTTTAAGATGCAGGATAGAAGGTCAAGCAGGTGAACTGAATGATCTTTCCTAATTACATGTGTCCTATCCTCCGTGGTCTGAGGAAGTTGAAGACTGTCAGCCAAGGGGCAGTGGTGACAAAGAATTTCCAAATCAGAGTTGGAGAGGAAATGAGAGGTAGGAGGCACTGGGTGGGGAGGGCACTTGTTTTTTTCTGCCTCCAATATGTGATTTGGATGATGAAGATACTTGTCAGCCAGCAGAGAGCCTGAGTCACTGCACAGGGCCAAGAAAAAGTTAGATTAATCTAGAGATCAAACACCAGTTCTGAGTGAGGATTAAACGCACAGTGAAATGCTGCTGCTGCTGCTGCCACTCCTAGTCCTGGCAGATCTCCTCCCAGGTGGTGACAATAAGGACGGTAAGAACAACTGGCAGCTGCCAGCACTGGTGCAGAGGGTCTGCATACAGTCAGTGCTGTGCTTACACCGGGGTGCTGTTCCCTCTAGTCCTCTCTACAGTTCTGGTGTATCTCAAAGCCTCAGGCTTGTGGAATCTTTAGGCTATGGGTTCAGTGTCTGATTCTCTTCAATTTCATTCTCTCTGATTTCCTCCTGCTTTCTTCTTTTCACCTTGTAATCCTTCCTCTCTTTACAGCCCTCCAGGGACCGACATCTTACCATGTCATCCAGATCTCATCCTTTATAAACAGCTCCTGGACACAAACTGAAGGCTCAGGCTGGATGGAAGATTTGGAGATTCATAGATGGGACAGTGATAATCAAACTGTCATATTTCTGACACCCTGGTGTAACGGTACCTTCAGTAAGGACGAAATGGAAGAAATGGCAGGGCTTTTCAAAATTTACTTCACTGGATTCCCAAGGGAACTGCGTGACCACCTCCTTGAATTCCAGATGCCCTGTGAGTTCAGCCTTCCCTGATATACTCTGCATGGCTGCCCTCACTTTCTGACTCAGGCTGACACTCCCTGGCATCCTCCTGGCCTCTTTTTTGCTGTACTCACCATCATACATGCTGTTACTTTCATTGCGTTCTCATGGCATCTTCACACTTTCTGAAAGATTCCTATTCTTGAGAACTCTTCAATCTTTGGAAGTTCTAGGCTTCCCTTCAAAATAGTCTCTCTGTGACTTGTACATCAAACACCCTTATTTCTCTTATCTTAGGTCTGAGTGACCTAACCTGTGTCTCCTTCCTCTAACCCACAACTTTCTGCCTGCACTCCTCCAAAAGATTCAACTCTGAAATAGTGTGTTTCTCTCTCCATGATGAAGTTCCTGGCATCCTTCCTCTCCTTTTATTGCCTCTACAGCTTCTTCACAGCCCCTCTGCAAACATAACACAAACACTTCTTTCCAGGGAGATTGTGTTCAATGGTGTTAGTGATTTTTGACTCATTCCACAACTGTAAAGCAACTCACAAAATAAAAGAACAACAACAACTCTAAGAAAAAATAAAGGATAAACTCGTGTTCTCACACCTGCCTTTATTTGATGTTTACTGCTGAGTGACTAAGTGTCTACTTTCTCCCCAGATCCCTTAGAAATACAAATGATAGGAGGCTGTAAGTTGCATTCTGGAGGTGCCATTGAAAGCTTCTTAAGGGCAGCTTTCCAAGGAAAGAATTTCCTGACCTTCAAGAATTATTCATGTTTGCCTGATCCAAAAGCTGGATACAGCGCGGAGATAGTATGTGCACTACTTTCCCAATATCAAAGAATCTCTGAAGTTGTAGAGATACTACTCTACGAAAAATGCCCCCGGTTTCTGCGTGGTGTCCTTAAAACAGGGAAGGCCTACTTGCAGAGGCAAGGTAAGTCCTATCGTGTTTCACTTCTTACCACCACCTGTAACTTTCAGAAGAGAGATAGCCAAAGATAGAGGATTTCCTTTGCTGGTCAAAGGAATAGATGAGGATGCTGTCCAACCTGTGGATTCTGGGACCCTATGCTTTGCAATAAGATCACAAGACAACATCATTCTTGCTGTTTCTTGCCCCAGTGAAACCCAAGGCCTGGTTGTCCAGTGGCCCCAGTCCTGGGCCTGGCCGTCTTCTGCTGATATGCCACGTGTCTGGGTTCTACCCAAAGGCTGTGTGGGTGATGTGGATGCGGGGTGAAGAGGAGAAGGTGGATCAGCAACATGAAATCCTTCCTTTTGCCGATGGGACGTGGTATCTGCGAGTGACCTTGGATGTTCCTGCTGAGGAAGCAACAGGCCTGTCTTGTCGGGTGAAGCACAGCAGTCTGGGAAACCGAGACATCGTCCTCTTCTGGGGTGAGAAAGAAGCAGGGCCCGGGTGTGAAAATGTAATAGAGAGTCCTCCCAAATCCAGGAGCACTGGGAAGGGTTAGTGTTGACCAGAGGGTAAACAGGAATAAGGAGAGAGGGACAGAGGCATGAACACACAGAAACTGAGAGAAAGAGAGAGAGTTGAGAGAGAAAGTTGGAAATATGAAACAGGGAACCAGAGATGATCATACATTTGTAGTATTTTCAGTATGATGATGGTATAGTGGGCCGTGAAATACAGAGCATTGGCTCTCTGGAAATTGCAGTGACTTTTCTGTGTTCTCTTTAAATCACCAGGACGTTCTGTCTCCATTGGCTTGATATTTTTGGCAATTCTGCTCTGTTTAGCCATTTTGCTGATCCTGGCCCTATGGTATTGGAGGCGCTGGTGAGTATCTCTAGTTAGTCTCCCTCTGCCCCCTTCTCAGTGGTTTCCACCACTTCACGTAGTTGGTGCTTTTGTAAGAAGACTTTTCACCTTGTCCTTGTCTTCCCAACTCCCTGTCTCCTCTGTAGTAACAACACTGGTGACATTTATCACTTTTCCCGTTGTTAATGTTCAGATCAGGTGCGCTACTGAATTTAGATTTTTGTGCAACCTTTATCATTACATGCCTCAGATCCCCTTTCCTCTCACAAAACTGAAACTCTTTAACCACTGCCCTCCATTACCCTCCTCCTCCCTGACCTGGGCAAGAACCATTAGAATTTCTACTTCTGTGAGTTGAACACCTCACTCTAGGCCCATCCTGCAAGGGAAGTCATGTAATATTTATTTGTTGTGGCTAATTTATCTTTTAGTATAATGCCTTCAAGGCTTATGTTGGAGCACATGTCAGCCTTTGTATTTTTCTTAAGGCTGTTTAATATTCATTCCCATCCATCTTTGTACCACATTCTGTTTTGTTTTTCCATTCGTATGTTAATGCTCATTCCAGTTCTTCAGCATTTGCCTATTGCAAATAATGACCTAATGCATATGGGTGTGTAAAAAGCACAGACACACAAACTTATCTGCCTCAAATTTCTGTCTCCTTCTCTTTGACTCTCTGTCTCCATATATATATATTTATAGGTATATATTTACATAATAAAACCTGTCTTATGTTTTTGGCAGGTCCTATCAGGATATCATATGAACTTTTTTTACATCGTCTCCCTCATTTGCAATATATTGTGAGAAGCCCAGAAATCAATATTTCTTCCAATATTTTAGGTGAAATCAGATATTTAGATTGTAAATATCATATTTTCTGTACCAGTGTAAAAGTAATTAAAGTTTTTCATTATTAGCTGCTATCAATAATAGCATTCATTATTATATCAACATTTAATACTTGTCCTGCACTTTTTGAGATTACTTAATACTTTACATCTTGTGCTCTCTTGATGTATCACGTACTGGGTTGAAAATAGTAAAGTAAACATGTGACTCTGTTGCTTATCTTTCTTGTTTATTTTTTGTGTATAATTATAGACATGATTATTTATGTATATATGCTCAGATGTAGTTTGCTGAGTTTAAATCTGTGTATTTAATTTTTTCAATGTGTGAAGTAGAAAATATTTCTTTTGTCCTTATTCCTAACGGGAGGTTAGAGGGTTTTGTTTTGTGTATAAATGTGTATATTCCGCATCAAGTGTGGGAAACATTCACAAGTGAGGGGTTAATGCTGGAAATTATCATAATTTTATGACCAGTTCAAAAAATAAATCTATTGCTTGTTAACTTTTTTTTCATTTTTTTAAGATTTATTTTTTTTATTACATTGTGTTATGTGACACAGTTTATTAGACACTGGGATTGCCCCTACCCTTCCCGTAACCCTTCCCCCAGGGTGGATTACTCCACCTTGCTGCATTGCCACAGTTCAAATTCAGTTGAGGTTCTTTCATTGCAAGCATATACCAAGCATAGAGTCCAGCATCTTGTTGTCCAGATAAGTTCAAGGGCTTGTTGGGGAAACCATCTCTGCTCTGAAGGTGGAGCTGGCAGAATGTCATCCCGTCCAATCAAAAGCCCCAACAAAACAGCAGCAACCATCCACCACGTCATTGAATTTGCGGACATAGTACTGAGTAACCAATGTGTTAGAAAAGAAAATTTACATTTTACAGGTACTATTATTCAAACAGACAGCATTTCATCTTAAATTAAGGAATATATGTGGTAAGTAACCTTTTGGGATAATAATTTCCCTTACCATTATGGTTTCCAGTTTGGCCCATTTAGCCACAAAGAACATTGTATTTTTTTTCATACCTGAGTAGTATTCCATCAAGTAGATGAACCATAGCTTTCTTATCCAATCTTCTGGGTTTTTTTAAGGCACATTTTCCATGTGTTTTGAGTGAGTTCTGCAAATTTCTTTGCTTATACCTAAAGCTTGTTTATAGTATCTGTATGACATTAGTGCTTACTGGGCTCATTGTAATGGCCTTTCTCTGTGTTGGTAACTGATTCTTCCCCCTCTTTCTTGTGCTTTTTCTCCCTTCTTGCCAAATTTCACTTTTGTACGGTTTTAAAAGATACAAATCTTGGCTTTATTGCTTTTCTGCATTATTTTCCTCTTTACACTGTTTCTCCTTTGTCTGTTTCATTTGCTTTCATAAGAGAGAGCTTATGAGAAAAGATCCTGCAAGATACATATTAAGAAACTGTACATGGATTTCACAATCATTTTACAGAATCAGAATTCTGTCTGTGTCTGCAGTCAAATATGAAAATAATTTCAAAAAGGGAGCAGAAACAATGACAAGTGGCAAAAGTTAGGGACATCAGTTTTATAATGTGAACATGTTCCATTCCTGACTTAAAGTGAGAAGTTTTGACTGTTTACAAATAAAGCCAAGAAATTCAAACATTTCATTCCTTGTTGTTTAGAGAGACTATAGCTAAGACAAGGAAGCAGACTTTAAAACTAAAGGAAAATCATTCACTGAAAAAAGAGAAAGGAGACTTTAAATCCAGATTGCACAGACTATAAGGTTCCCATGTATCTGTAATGTTTAGATTGTTAGAATAATCTCTTTTGATCATTGTTCTTCCTAGTGTATTTTAAATACAGACCTTCTTTGGAAGAATGGTTTGATCTTCATAGCAGCAATTTGAAAGGCTACATTATGTTTGCCAATTTTCTAATGTGCATTTATTGATGCATTAGTAATATAAAAATCTTCATTTCTGAAATTCCACATATTGGACTGGTTGGTCATTACATTTTTATTCATTGATTTTTAGCTATATGCCATCATGTCAAAACAAAGCTTGCATGATTTTAGATTTAGAACCTGTTTATGATGCTTTAGGAGGAACATGTGTTGTTGAATGTTCCATCTTTACATGAAAGGAATATACATTTTCACATAGTTTTTAAAGATTCATTTATTTCACCTGGAATTCAGAGAAAGAGAGCTCTCCATCTACTGACTCAGTTCTCAAATGGCTGTGAAGTCTGCAGCTGGGCTGGTCCAGGCCGGCAGCCAGGAGCTTCTGCTGCTTTCCCAAGCCATTAGCTGGGAACTGGAGCCCAAGTGCAATGCCAGCAGAGCAGGTGGAGGTCTAGATTGCAATTGTCTGCCCCTCTTTCTCTTCCCATCTGTCGGGATTAGAACCAGCGCCCCTTTGGGATCGTAGCACGTTCAAGGAGAGGACTTTAGCCACTAGGCCACACCACCGGGCAATGCCTCCCTTTTTCTTTAGAAATATTTTAATTTTGAAAGTATTAGCTTAGGTCTTATCTTTTAATTATATTGCTCTAGTTTTTATGATTAGTGAGTCAATGTATAGATGATTCAAATGCAAGTCTAAAGATTCATTTACAGCATACATTTAATATTGCTTTTTTAAAAAGATAATTTTGCTTGATAACTTTAGGGTCTTGACTTGGAAAATTTGCATGAACAAATGTGCACAGACATTACATCTTGCCTAAACCATCTTGAAATTTACACTTTTTCTTTCATTTCTATTAAAAGTTTCTTTTCTTTATGGATTTATTTATTTACTTATTTTAATTTTTATAAATATTACTGGTGAAATAAATAGTTTCAACATATATTTAGGGACATGATGTTTTATTCCAAGTACAAATTTTAGCATTCAAATTTGCTTAGTTTTATGCAACAAGTGGTGTTCATTGTTCATCCTGGAACATCCTTTTTTTTTAATTGTTACTGTTTTTCATGATAGCGTTTTATAGGTGTAGGAATTCCTGGCGCTCCCTCCCATTCCTCCCACGGCATCTCCCTTTTGCTGTTTTCCTCCATATTGTTACAGTAGTATGGTTCTTTGCAGGTGTAAGGCAGTCGTAGAAAATGCCATTGTCAAATTGTGGTTTTTCATCTTGTTAAGATGGGAGGTTATTTGTGCATTTTACATATACACATGATACTTGTCAACGTAGCATAGTTTTTTTGTTGTTTGAAAATGCTTTTTAAAATTATCTAGTATACCTCAACACCCCACTGATTTAATTAGTGTTGTCTCTACATTGACCATGACATTTTTACTTTCCTCATTTCTTTTTCTACATAGGCTGCCTGATTTCTTGTACTTTCTGGATTAATTATATTTATTTTACCCTTTTTCCACTTATACCTTGTTACTTTAATAATCTCTTATGAATATTTTATTGGTCATTATGATTGTGTATTTTTTTTTACAACTTCAGCTCATTTTAATTTTGAACTTATTTATTATCAACTTTTAAATGTATGTACTTCCTTTATTATTATTATTAATAATAACATTGTATTTTGTGACACAGTTTTATAGGTACTGGGATTCCCACCACCCCTCCAATAACTCTCCCTCCCATGGTGGATTCCTCCACCTTGTTGTGTGACCACAGTTCAAGTTCAGTTGAGATTCCTTCATTTTAATCATATACCAAGCACAGAGTCCAGCATCTTATTGTCCAGATAAGTTCAATGGCTTCTTGGGGAGACCTTTTCTGGTCTGAAGGTAGAGCCAACAGAATAAAAACCTGATCAATCAAAAGCCCTAACATAACATCAGCAACACTATACAATGCTATGGTATTAATTGACATAGTATTGAGTGAAAAATATATTAAAAATAATGCAAATTTTACCACATCCTGTGACTACTCTATTGACATTTCAACAATTGAGGTGCAAAACAGTTATAGGAGGGGTGTAGCACTAGGTTTTGAAAGTATAGTAGGTTTTACAATTTTTCAAAACACATGGGTTGAGACAGTATCAATTACAGGTTCAAAAAGAAGAAAAAAAAATTACAGGTTAAATTAAGGCAAAGATGTGGTATCTAACCTTTTGGGATTGGCTCATTTCCCTTAGAATTATCGTTTCCAGTTGGGCCCATTTGCCGCAAAGAACTGCATTTTGCTTTTTTTAATAGCTGAGTAGTATTCCATGGAGTAGATGAACCAAAGCTTTCTTATCCCATCTTCTGCTCATGGGCATTTTGGTTGTTTCCGTGTTTTGCAATTACTGATTGTGCTGCTATATACACGGGGGTGTATGTTGGTTTGTCGTGAAACAGGTGTTTTGGATATATTCCTAGGAGTGCTATATGTTTTTAAAAATTTTTAATTTTATTATAAACAGTCATTATCACTTTCTGCTAATTTAGTTATGTTAATTCTAAGTATCCTTCACTTGTGCATATGATATTGCTATGAATATCAAGTTTAGATTAAATTTTAAGCAGTAAATATTCTAATTTATTTGCCTTCATTACTAGTTTCTGGTTAAGATTGGTGACTAGAAATGTCATTTGATTTTAGCTCACAAACAGCAATCATTTCTATATGATATTCAAACACTTGGATTTCTAATATATCTATAATATTTTAAATTATGATTTATTTTCAACCCCAATGTATCAGACTTTGGGATATAAAGTTATGGAATTGCTACCTAAAGCCTATTTGTTTGCCAGGGCTTTACTTGCTGGAAGGCCTCCAGTTTCAGCTGTTGTCTCATTATACCCATGACTCTGGAATGTTCTACTCCACTTCCAGTTCACTTGGTTGCCAACAGGAAATTGGAAATCTCTGTATGTAAAACAATGTGGCACCTTCTAGCAGGATTTCTCTTTTCCAGATAAGAGGCCTCTAATTTCTCACCTTGCTGCTCTTAAGGATATTCAGCTAGATGATATTTCTCAAAATGAGATATTGCAATTTTTTAAAATTATTTTATGATGCAGTTTCATAGGCTCTGGGAATTCCCATCCCCCTCCCCCAAGTCCCTTTCCTGCCACTAATCTCCACTGTATTATTACAGTAGTACAGTCCTTCATAAGCAGTCATAAGTCCATTATTTTGTTATTTAAGTGTATTCTGACATTGTATGTACAGACAATGGAAGAAAGTCAAGCATCCTTTTGTCAAGATGTAATTAACAGTTTCACTGGGAGTCCATCTTTGATTTGGAAGTAGAGCTGCACACTGCATTGTGTCTTCCTTCACATAGGGGTATGATAACCTTTACTCCACAGTTACTATACATTTCTTTAAATAATTAGCCATGTAACAAAGTCAACAACCAGAAGCAAAACAGGAATTCACAACAGCAGGAAGTTAAGTAGCATGGAACTGAATAACCATTGTGTGGCAAGAAATAAAAAAGAACATCAGAAACCTTCTTTCAGAAAATGATGTTATTGTGTGACCTATGTGTCACTGAAGAATTAATTTAAAAAATCCCTTTTGAGGAAATGAAAATAAGAAAAACACCAAAAA